GTCAAGTTGGAAATCATTATGATAAATGAATCTACAATATCTTTTAACATCAGATATACAAAGTCACCTATGAATAATCCGGTAATTGCATAATTAGCTAGTGTTGGATTCATTTAAGGTTACACGGAGATCACAGCTAGTTTAGCTACGTTTTCATTCTCCAGCATTAATATAATACCTCAATGTGGAATGAGTGAATGAATACTTACAATTTAGATAATGGTTCATCATAGTTGACATATTTTAACTACAGACAACAGAAAGGGGGAAATAAATAAGTACATTTAGTCTTAGATTGAGCTAGCCATAGTTAGCCCTCTAGCTAGCTCACATTTGACAACGCTTTAGCTGTGTTGTTGTTGTTGGCTGTCTCTCCTGCAGTGAATGTGTCAGGCCCTGGTCAGACCCCATATATTAAACATACCAGAGTGCAGCTTCTGTGTATTTTCTTGGTTTTAAGCTTTGCTGTAATCATATTTTCACATTCATTTGAAGATTCTGTGAGGATGAAACGTCAATTCAAACATTTAGTTACACCTTTTTGGCGTTGTAGAAATGCATAGATCTGAACATGTTTTGTGTTTTTATTTCCTCCTTTCCTGCAGGTGTAATGTCTCCAGAAGACCCACTGTAAGCTGACAAATGGTAACAACATGTCCTCCATACTCCTACGTCCACTCGACTTATCTTTGCTGTACCATCTTTTCTCCCCTTCTTTCCGTCTTCTCTACCATTTTCCACTTTGTATTTTCTCCCTTTCTTCTCCGTCACGCCTCTCTTGACGCTGATACACCTTTCACCTTGTTGTCTTCATTGTGTCTCCGCTGTGGTGCTTTACATGATATTTTCCTTGCATCAGCCCTACGGTTTGTGGCTATTTCCGCTTTTGTTTAGTTTAATACCTCATCTGTGGCTGTGTAGAAGCCAGTGACTCATTTGGGGATAGCTTCGTACATTATACTCTACCATAATGCATACTAAATACCTACACATACAAACAGATACACAACAAAATCCTTTTGACATCAATAATTGGTAAATCCTCTGATTAACTTGTAAGAATTGTCCTTAGAGTGCTTAAGTAATTGTGTTTGTGTGTGTCCTTTTTCTTTTATTGCATGCACCCCCCTCTCTTTAAAGCACATCTTTATAACCAAGCAATTCCAAAGCAATTTTCTCTGTGGGAGGAGAGTGTAATTTTCTATTCTGTGACACTGTGATGTGTAAGAAACTGGGAGCTGGCGCTAAAAGGCGTCTGCGGCGTGTGTCTCGGTGTGGGTGTGAGTCGCTTTAATGGCCAACGCGGAGCGGGTGGCGGCGGCGGTGAGCGGGTGCATGTCAGGAAGGCCATAATTTAATGACTCCCAAATAGTGCCCTCCTCGTTAGAGCTATCGTCCTGGAAACACGAGGCTGTGAACCAGGAGAGCGCCACACGCTGCAACACTCTTTTATCTTCATATTAAACCATTTGCATAACATTACCACCACAGATAGGATTCAGGAGATACTCCACCTACTCAGGGAGAGACAGAGAGGGTATACTAGCCTACATGTCCTTGCAAATCTAATCAGCGTTAAATGGAGCTGTCAGATGTGTGTGTGTGGTGGCTCATGTCAGGAGTCATTTAACATTAAGCTGTAACAGGGCTGTAATTACGAAACACAAGCTATTTCTTGTTCGATGTGACATCCAAATACAGCAGTTAACTAGCACTGATACACAAGGCCAGGCCAGGCGGTGACAACTTACACACACTTGTGTCCTTCACAAAGTTTAAATATATTTGTTGTTGCCTTTATCGACCTATTTTGACGTCGCTTGAGCAGCTCTACACAATACAAAGAAGTCGCCAATTAGAACGAATCACATCGCTACCTATTTAAAAAGAAATGTTGAATTTCGTGTGATATCAGCAGGCTAACAAAAGACTCAATTTGATGTTGTTGTGTAAATTCAACACCTATCCATATTGCGATAAAGTGGTGTTCTGCTTTGCTTTGTGTCTGATCTGACAGCATCTCAATGAAGAATACAGAGAAGATTCTCATCACTGGAGAGAAGCAGGAGAGTGTGTAAGCACACACTAATTAGTTGTTGCTTCTTGCTACTGCCTGATTAATTTAATCAAAAGTACACAGTACAATGCACTGCTCAGGCAAAGCAGGTTTAACATTCTGGATATATATCATTTCTCTAAGGTTTGACTATCACTTGACAGTCCCTGAATGTCTTCTGGACCAGAATAGATGAATAGATGAAACATGTGCCGTAACAATATGTTATTAAACTACAAAATGTGCCTAAAGTTATTACATTCTTCAATCTAGCTGTTCTGAAACCTCTATAAACACAGCCTATTGTTGCTTTTTCTTTACTATTTATTGGTTCAATAATCATGAGCTGGATGGATCGACATTTCCCGGGCTCTTCTGTTGGCTTTGTTGGAAAAATGACACCTTTGTAATTCTTACTGGTGCATTGACATCTAGTTCATATAATTCCCAGCATAGATTCCCCCAACTCTAATGAGCCAGAATAACTGTCAACAGCTGTGTGTGTGTGTGTGTGTGTGTGTGTGTGTGTGTGTGTGTGTGTGTGTGTGTGTGTGTGTGTGTGTGTGTGTGTGTGTGTGTGTGTGTGTGTGTGTGTGTGTGTGTGTGTGTGTGTGTGTGTGTGGTGTGTGTGTGTGTGTGTGTGTGTGTGTGTGTGTGTGTGTGTGTGTGTGTGTGTGTGTGTGTGTGTGTGTGTGTGTGTGTGTGTGTGTGTGTGTGTGTGTGTGTGTGTGTGTGTGTGTGTGTGTGTGTGTGTGTGTGTGTGTGTGTGTGTGTGTGTGTGTGTGTGTGTGTGTGTGTGTGTGGTCATTAAAGGATCAATTCACGCTAATTACATCATAAGGAAATCCATGTTTTCTCACATTTCCTTAATAGCGATACAGATGGATTTAGTTCCACAAGGTTTTCTGTGTTTGAGATTTCTGTGCGTTATCCAAACATAGGAGAGAGATTCTGGTAGACACGTTGCTTTGACTGTTTCCAGTTTTCTATTTGATCAGTACTAACACAATTCCTTTTGTATGCTTTGTATTAGGTGTTGGTGGCAGAAGTCTTGAAAGCGGATAACCGATCTCCATGGCCAGATGAACCAAGGTGTGAGAATCTGTTTCTGTGTTTAGGCCCTATCATAAAGGTCAGAGGTTAAAAATAGCATATATATTGTAAGTAGGTAAGCAAGTTTGTGCACTTACCTTGGATATAACAGATGTCATCATATCCCAGAATGGGCTTGTAACTATCTGTGTGTGTGTGTGTGTAGGATTACTTGTTTATGCATAAGGGGATAGACTGTGCCAGGTGAGTGTGCCATTTACCATCACGCCATTGAGTTCAGCAGGCACCTAATAACAAAGCATTTATGGCCCACTTACGCATAGATATAACCGTCAGTAGGCGACATGTCTCCTCTCCGCCGTCTCCAGCTATTCCTGCCTCTCTTAAAACACACAACACCATCCCGATTGTGCCCAAATACTCTAGAATTCTATCATCAGACTCGGGGATGAAATTAAAATTGCTCATTTTCTTTCTCCATACAAGGAGCAGATCAATTTCCGGAGACTGGGACGTGGTATTTTCCTGCCATTGGGCTTTCTCGTCTCCGGCACAGCACCCTGACTGGCTGCCAGCGGGGGGTCCGCGCCCGACTGCACGCCTCGCCGGAGAACGGTTACTTCTGCCGCGGCGAGTTTATTTGCGCCTCGCTATGAGAATTGCCATCATTTACCCTTCCCCAACACCTCCCAAAAAGAAAAGAAATAGACAAGGGGGGAAGCGAGGCAAGATTGAGAGGCGAAATTGATTCTTTTTGATACATGCTGCACGGGGGACATTAGGTTCCCCTCGTTTGACCATCTATTCCAAGAAATGAGGCGAATATATTTAGCGTAAAGTCTCTTCTTTAGGCTTTCTGGAGGCCTTCTGCTGTGACGTTAACCCGTGCATTATGCTGGTTTTAAGGGAAGACAACTAATTGATGCAGCTGTCCAGGAATGATAACTCAACATGTGTTAAGATGACCTAATTAAGGGCAACTTGATGAACCACCAGAGCATTACATGTGATGGTTGGATGATGTCACAGCTTTCAGGTTTGTGGCTCGTAAGCCTCCATTTCAGTGCTAACACTTTTATCCTTTTCCCACCAAATGAGGGCCAGGTTTGAAAACACTGGAAAGGGTTTAAAATGAGTGTGTCTGTCAGGGTGTCATCATGTCTCCTTTACTGTCGATGTATACCTTGACTACTGCAGAGGTACTTGTCTCAGGAATGAATGCAGACTGTAACCTTTCCAACTGAAGACAAAAGCCAGATGTTAGTGGGCTATTTTTTCTACTGGCAAAAAGGTTGAAGCCTTCACAATACCCACATATAGCATATTTCAAACCCAATAAAGAAGAATGTACTAATCTATTTGTTGTGTTTGTTTTGCAGGACGTGAGGATGTGCATGACACCATTGTTTGCACAAGCAGTACCATGAGGTCACCACAGTTTGACCATCAAGCTCTAACACACTGATATTGTGTACACATACTTCACTGAGTGGAGTAACAACAACAGTACTTGCCTCTGAAATGTAGTGGAGTAGAAGTATAAATTGGAAATACCCAACTTGAGTCGCTCACAATAGCACTTTAAGTCCTTTAGTGAATGTACTCCGTTACTGTCCAATACTGATTAAAGGTTTATGGTATCTAGCAGTCCTATTTCTTATCCCTTTATCAATATGAGGCTAATGGGTCATGTTAGCATTACAGCAGAACAGAAACTATAACCTGAACTACTACTCTCTAAGCTTTAAACCAGTCTCAGTGTTTGTCTTGGCAGTGTCTCTGGTCACTGTTTGCACATTTCGACCATGCGACCCTCTCCTCTCTGCAGGAGCGTCACAGATACTGTCCGGGGTTAATTGAAGCCATATTGAGAAACAGCATAAACCCAGCCCCCTTTTCCCCCTCTGTGTTCATTTACCGGCATGCACGCGCCCTGCAGTGGATTTTGGTCCAAGGGAAAACTTTCTGCAAGTTAATCTGTAACCACTGAGACACTTTATCAGCTTTAACAGACAGCAGCATGGCTGGACTCAAGGTAAGGACGCATTCTTTCTATTGTACATAATGTTTAATACTAGATAATTACATGCAAAGTTTAGGAGTCATCATTAACAACAGAAGCAGAGCGGCTGGCTGAAGGGCGGCGGTGCCTCCAGCCAATCAGAGCACTGCATTCAGCAGCTGCCCAGATGTGGGGTCAGCTTCACAGAACAACACTATTTCAGTGAGAAACACTCAATAGAATAGAACGGAATGTCTTTTTACATGCATGTTTTAAGTATTAGGCATTTAAACCGAGTTTTCAACCAAAGATATTTTTTAAATGGAGTTTTTATGACTGACAGTTCACACGATTTTAACCTTTTGTGTCTAACTTTATGTTTTTGCCGGTTGTGTCACTTTAAGTTAAGTTAAATCCAATTTTATTAACCTTTATTGGAGCAAACTCAAAAGCACGGCACGTGAACGCGCACATATGGAACCCATCCGTGCCTGCTGTGTGTTTTCTGCAGACTAACAATGACTCAGCAAGATTTCTTTAGTCTTTCTTTAAGTTCTTCTGTGTTTAAAAGAAGACTTTGGCGGTGCAGACGGAGTAATAATCCTGTCATAATTGCAATATTGATCATAGAGTACTGTGGAGGATATCAGTGTAATTAGTCTGTCTCTGTATCACAATAACACAAAAATAATGGATGACTGCAAGGGGGGAAATGTGGCATAACTGCAGTTTGTTTTATCATAGATCTAATGTGAATCAATATGACAACAATTAAGAAAAAGACAAGTCTTAATGACAAGCCTTCACATTTAATTATAACCAGCATGAACACATTTATCCTGCATTACAATGAAGCCGCATGGTGTTTACATGGGATTCTTCTCTTTTTTCTCTTTCAACTTGAATATCTCTCGCAGTACATGAGTGGCTTCGGGAACGATTTGTCTTCTGAAGACCCTCGCTGTCCTGGATCTCTACCTGAGGGACAGGTAACACACACATCTACAAAAACCCACTATGTGGCAGAGGTGATAAATAGCCATTGACAATTGTATTATCTCTACAGAATAACCCCCAGGTGTGTCCGTACGGCCTCTACTCTGAGCAGCTCTCCGGCTCAGCCTTCACCTGCCCCCGGCCGGCCAATAAGAGGAGGTGTTCACCTATTTTCTGACATTTAAATGATCATACTAACCACTTTAAATGTCCCCTATTTTATACTGTTTTTCATTACTTTAAGTCTCAGATATATACAAACATGTCTCTGAAGTGTTTGGCTGAAATACCAAACAGATCATTGCAGCATCCCATAATGTCCTCTGTTTCAGCCCTGTTTCCAAAGTGCTGATTCTCTGTCTGTTACTTTAGATGAAAATAAGTATCCACTCCCCACGCCCCTCTGAGAGATATTTGGTTACAAAGAACACAAGAGCCGATTTCACACCAAGAACTTTGCCGTACTTAGTGCCCATCGCTTAGTGCCAGCACTTAGTACCCCCATGGAACTAAGTACCAATCGCGTTCACACCGGAATAAGTTCCCTGAGGGAAGATTACGCAAATGAATCCACTGACGTCACTTCTTCTTCTTCTGCTTTGGGTTTACTGGCAGGCCGCAAACCACTTCACGGCGTATACTACCACCCGAAGTCCCCGGCCGGAAGTCCCCGGAGTTGGGGACTGGCTTCAGTAGAAGCTGCTGGGACTCCCAGCAGCTTCTACTGAAGCCTTCCGAGTAAATCGCCAGAACGCCGACTCCTCCTCATCTCCACCGCTACCATGTTTTTTTTTGTGTTGCCATAAGTTAGTCTCTCTGCGTTGATGCGCGGGGATAATGCTAATGCTAATAATGCTAATGCAAGCAAATACATTGCATTAGCATGTATTTGCGGCTTCACAAAACTTTTCAGAGTTTTACGGGGCGTGGTTTGCAATTCGCTCAGCCAATCGAAATTGGTACTTTTTTCTCGGATAGTCCCACCTCTCTAGCAGGCACTGAAAAGGGGGGAAAAGTTCTCGGAACTAAGTTCTCTTTTTGGTGTGAACGCAAAATTCCAGGCACTAACGGAACTAAACGGGAAAAGTACTCCGGTGTGAACGGCCTATTGGTGCTCTAGGAGGAGATTCAGGTGATAAGGGGGGGGGGGGGGGGTTAGGTTACCTTGGTTGCTGATTGGCTAATGGTTACACAAGCCTAGAAAATTGTTATGACATCATAAAGTGGCCAAAATCTGATCAGCTCATTTTCAGACAGGTTTTTATAGAAATGGATCAGCACAAAAAGAGAGAGAATCTTTTTTCCTGAAACTTTCAGAGTCTCTTTCCACAGAGGGGACACATGTTGATGTAGAAGAGACATGAAGAAGAGGGGACACATGTTGATGTAGAAGAGACATGAAGAAGAGGGGACACATGTTGATGTAGAAGAGACATGAAGAAGAGGGGACACATGTTGATGTAGAAGAGACATGGAGAAGAGGGGACACATGTTGATGTAGAAGAGACATGAAGAAGAGGGGACACATGTTGATGTAGAAGATACATGAAGAAGAGGGGACACATGTTGATGTAGAAGAGACATGAAGAAGAGGGGACACATGTTGATGTAGAAGAGACATGAAGAAGAGGGGACACATGTTGATGTAGAAGAGACATGAAGAAGAGGGGACACATGTTGATGTAGAAGAGACATGAAGAAGAGGGGACACATGTTGATGTAGAAGAGACATGAAGAAGAGAGGACACATGTTGATGTAGAAGAGACATGAAGAAGTGGATTTTGCATAATAGGTGACCTTTAAATCCAAATGAAGGTGAGACAGAGGGAATAACTCAACATGTTGTTCTTCTTCCTCCAGCTGGTTTTACCGTATCTTGCCATCTGTCAAACATAAGCCTTTTACCGCCGTGCCTTGTGGGAATCTGACAGAGAACTGGAACGAGGTGGAGCCTGACCCCAACCAGGTATAAAAGGGGCAAAAATGAAGACTTAATGCTTGTATGTCAGAGAAAACCGAAACATTTTTAGTATACTCAATAGAATAACACATTCACAAGTCAATACATTTATTATGTTTAGAATTTTTTTATTTCTTTCATAAAATGTCTGAAAACACTAACTAGTGCCAATTGAGATAACACAATGTTTCCATTATTTACGTTAAGCTAATTCGCTGCTAGCTGCATATATTATGAGAAAGGTATTTTAAGTGTCTGCAAGAAAGTGAATTAGAGTGTTTCAGAAAATGTCAAGCTAGTAATCTATTGTTGCATCAAAGTGTTTTACTTCAATTGAATTTCCTTTGTTGTCTGTGTGGGTGTTGTTTGATTAGATTTGATGGATATTTCTGCCAATTTAAGCGAGGAAAGCCACACATTTATATCCAATCGTTGTTAGGGTTGTTAGGGTTAGGGTCGTTACTGGTCCTCACACATACATGACACCAGTGTTTTTCTATCAAATCCCGCCCACTTGAACCAGATAGAAGGCTAATAGGAGGCAGATGTACATACATTTCGCATGGCAACAACAGCAAATCAGAAATTCCTCATGTAGGATTTCACTGTTCATAGTAAGAAGCTATTTGAGAAATGTTGTCTTTAGAGCATTTAATACTTTAAATACTGAATAAGTAACTCTGGTTCCTCTCACAGATGCGATGGCTGCCGTTCACCATCCCCAAATCTACGGAGAAGAAAGTGGACTTTGTGGCTGTGAGTTCAATTTCCACATATTACTTTACAATTAAAGATCTTGAGTTAACTCATAGTTATTTCTTCATGTTGCAGGGTCTGCACACTCTCTGTGGAGCGGGAGATGCCAAATCCCGCAACGGCATCGGCATCCACATGTTCACCTGCAACACCTCCATGGTTGACAGGTGAGAACATATTAGTGTATAATATGCATTTTCAACATATCAAATCCTCCTAAGCAGATCCTTTCTAAGCCCTCTCTTTTGATATTTTCTTGTTGCAGGTGCTTCAACAACTCAGACGGAGACTTTCTGATTGGTGAGGAAAAGGCTTGTTGATGTTTTCACTGTCATCTATCACAAGAAGAACAATGATAGCCCAATTCTGAGCTTTTCTCTTTCTTCAAATGTTCTGTTTGTGTCTGTAGTCCCGCAGCAGGGTGATATTTTGATCACCACAGAGTTTGGGAAGATAATGGTCGAGCCGAACGAGATCTGTGTCATCCAGGTGAGATCTATGTTTTTCATCTCCACAAGTTTTCATACAGAAATGTGCCTCTGTGTCTTCACAGCTCAATTAGCATATTTTGGTCTTTTTCAACAAAAGCCTTCCAAATAAATAACCCATAAGCTTCAGTACATTAAAAACAGTACTAAATATCCTTTAACTTCTTCTGTGTTTTGTCCAGCAAGGGATGCGCTTCAGTGTGGATGTGTTTGGGGAAACCAGAGGATACATACTGGAGGTGTACGGAGCCCATTATGAACTCCCTGACCTGGGGCCTATAGGTGTGTGCTAGATAAGAAAGTACTTGACAGTCAAATCGAGTCTGAAATTGTTCTTCAATCACAACAGCTCCATTTGCAACATCAACAAGGATACATATTTAAGACAAGAAAACAGATATGGGTTCAAGAGTCTTTGACGTACATTTGATCTTGGGTTAAACTCAACATATCGTTTTTAGGATCGACTTCAGTCTAACTTTATTAAACCCTTTATTTCAGATTTGATAGAAACAATTCATATTGCCTTATTTGAGGTCAGAGACAATGTTGCTGGCAAGCCTTAATGTGTTATAGTAGTTGATTCATAGAGTTTCCCACAAAGCCATAGCTGTATTTGTGTTTAGTCAAATATTAGCATGTAAACATTGTAAGACAATATGATTAAGTGCATGTTAGCATGGTAGCGTCCTGACGTTAGCATTTAGCTCTCTTACTACTACTATGACAGCCTCACATAATTGCTAGGATGTATTGTTAATATAGATTTCAAGTTTTTGGAGTGTGTGTTTCAAAGATTCAAAGGCATATTGTCATATGAACAATAGCCTAAACATAGCTTTGGGAATTAAAAGTCCCAGGCTGCTACAGCAATGGAATACGCAATATACTTCACATAAAATGAAAAGTAGTTCAATAGACATGACGGTGCATATGTATGACTGCGCATGTTTGTCTTGCAGGAGCCAATGGTCTGGCCAACCCTCGAGACTTCCTGTGTCCAGTTGCTTGGTACGAGGACCGCGAGGTGGCCACAGGTTACACCGTCATCAACAAGTACCAAGGAAAGCTCTTTGCATGCCAACAGGTGTGTGCATTTGTTCCCTTGCAGTGTGTGTGAGTCAGTACATTGACACATTTGGCATACTTGGCCTATTTAGTTTTGCGTTTGCTTCAGTAAACACCATCAAACCGCAACAATGACTAACAGGAAGCTGTCCAAGTGAAGCATATGATCCATTAGGTGCTGCTGCCATGCCTGATGGTTTAATATCGAAGTGTGTGCTGTTATCCCTTCAGCGGGTTTCCGCCTCGACTCCCTTATGAGCCTTAATCACTCGTAATTAGTTAAGGCATTTAGGAGTTACTGACGGTGTGCCTGTGAGGCTGTGCTTTGTCGGAAAAACCTTTCCCAAGTTAAGCATTAATTTCCCCGCATTTCCCTCAGTGAATGATCCCGCCCCTCCCCGAATGTCCTGTTTGGCGCATAATTGGATCGACACATAATGTGTGACAGGAGGTTTTTTTGTATACAGAGACAGGGGGGGGGGTTGTAACCGTGGAAACCATGTCAAACTACTCTGTTATTATTCATTGTATGAATTACACAAGGGCGAGATGCCGTTTTTTGTAGCAAAACAAACATTTTTCCATCTCTCGCTGCCTCGCCTGGAGTGTCCGCCCCCTGTTCGGAGCTGGGGGTCAGAGGTCACGGCTGCACCTGAAACTCTCTTCCTGGGGTCCCAAGCAGGGGGGGGGGGGGATGCAGGGGTGAGAGAATAAGGTGGGGAGGGAGCGTCGGCCTCATCTGGGGGAAGATGCTGCTGCTCCCGTCTGATCCTGCTGTTTTGTTCCCCTGCAGAGTGCTGAAATTGCTCAAATTAACTTATTATTTGCTTGACTGGGCCAATATGTTTGTGTTTTGTGTGCATGTGTGTACTCTCCTACATTTCCCCCCTCATTTTAATCGAATGTAGGAGAGTTACCACGGATTACCGTCCAAGAGATTGGGCATTTTTGTATGGCAGGGACTGTAAATTGTGTTTGTGATTTTGTTTCCTTCTTTCCTTTTATGTTTTGGTTAAATCATTCACATATACACATGTTAGAGTATTCATATGTGTTTTTTATTCTGTGTGTGTGTGCGCTAGCTGTTGATGTGTGTGAGGAGCACAGGTCACTCAGGAGGCAGCTTGAGTTGTAATGAACTATATTGATTTTTAGAGCTGCTGTTCAATGTCTTTTTCGCGGTGGCATTATCAGAACAGAGAAACTATATGAAATTGCTGTGGTTTTAACAATCAAGATGAAATAAATGTATCTCTGCACCCACTGTAACTGCTCTTCTCCCCCCTTAACTGCACCGTCACGAGCATCAAAATGCCCAAAGTTTGGAGAAAGTTTGATTGTGAAGCCAATTACCCCATAATACCTGGAGCCTGGTTTCACAAAGAACAGGGGGAATGAAAGAAGCACAGCCTCTTTCACAATCAACCCTTTTCATTACAACCAGTTTTTCTCTTTATGTCAAGAAGTGCTCTCTCTGAGAATTTAAGATTACAAAGACATTAGTCATTATTCCTTTTTCCCTGTGAAAAGCTCAATTGAAAGTCCTTTGTGTTTGTTGCTTGGGCAGACTCGTCTTATTTGTTTGCCTCTGTGCTCTGCATGTAGGATTTCTCTCCGTTCAATGTGGTGGCTTGGCACGGCAACTACACACCGTACAAATACAACCTGAAGAACTTCATGGTTATCAACGCTGTGGCCTTCGACCATGCGGTGAGAGACATATTCAGACATGCTACTTTTTAATATACATAACGCAAATCAATTCATTTCTCTTTACTTTAAGCCCTGGAAGTACATGTAAGTCTTAATACTCTACCACGCCCTCATCATATACTGATCTTCTTCTAGGATCCATCTATCTTCACCGTGCTGACCGCCAAATCCACGCGTCCAGGTGTGGCCATCGCTGACTTTGTCATCTTCCCCCCTCGCTGGGGTGTGGCTGACAACACCTTCCGTCCTCCATACTATCATCGTAAGACCCCAATAACACACTCACATTGATTCATCTCTTGCATTTTGCACCAGAGGAGAAAAAGACTTCTGAGAAATAGTTCTAATAAAAACTCTGGAGAATGTCCAGAGAATCAGGTCCGCACTTTATCCGTAGATTTCCTTTAACACATGTAGCACACAACGGGAGATTGCCCGTGTTAGAGGGACAATCTTGCTTTATGAAAAGATTCTGTTGATGTGTTGGCAGAGCGTGCAGGAGGCCCAACATGACCCGGATTACACCGCGGTCACAACACTGTTTGGTAACTTGGTCACAAACTACCAATTATTTTGTATTTTCGTTTATTTGTCTGTTTATCGTCCGCCTCTATGAAAAGGAGTTACCAGATCTCATCATCTCTCCAGTTAGACAATTGAATTGCCGTCTAAATGACTTCTTCTTAACCCTCTAATATTGGTTTTCTTTCTGTCTCGAGCCAGGAGTAATAAAAAACTAACAAAGAAATCAACAAATTCACTCATGGGTCGGATGTTAAACAGACTTTGTGCTTGGCATTGTAAAGTCTGTTTAATATGTGGTGCAAATGATTCAGACATTGGCGTTCTCACATAAAGCTCCTCTGGGTAACGTCTAGGGTTGCAGTTCATGTGTGAAAGGGTCTAAAGGACTTTAGATGTGGCTAAAATTAAGTCAATTGGTTTTATGTTGACTCTATCATGAAAGGAAACTAACCTGTCCTTTTCACCCAACCAGTGTCAAGTCAGCAGGTGATAAAACCCACCTGCTGTACGGGTCTTTTCAGGCCCCTCCACAGCACCTTTTGTCTGCTTCCGCCACAGATCTATAAGGCCATCTAGTGGAAATCAGTGCCTTTTATACTGGAAACTCAACCTGTGTTACAGCGCCTCCTGTCTGTTTCTTTAGGTAACTGCATGAGCGAGTTCATGGGCCTGATCAAAGGCCACTATGAAGCCAAAGCAGAGGGTTTCCAGCCTGGGGGGGGCAGCCTGCACAGCATGATGACCCCCCACGGCCCCGATGGAGAGTGCTTCGAGAAGAACAGCAGCTCCGAGCTCAGACCTGAGAGGGTGGCCGAAGGCACCATGGTAAGAAAGTGTATTTGTATTAGATGCATATGAACAGAGATGGCAAAAGTACACACATCCTTTACTCAAGTAGAAGTACAGATACTCGTGTTTAAAATACCCTGTTAAAGTAGAAGTACTGACTAAACTTCTTTACTCAAGTAAAAGTAAAGAGGCTTTGAAATGTACTTCTGTAAAAAGTACCCATAACTAGCAGCTGTTTTAAAGAGTACCTGACCTCCCTTTATATTAATAGAACAATAATGTCATTGTTAGCTAATGAATGTTTCCATGCTGAACAACGGCAACATGACAACGTTTCCATTGGTCCCTCTTCTTTAGAGAAGAGCAGGAAATGATGGATACACGGATCGTGTTCAAATCAATAGGCACGCAATGACTCTAAAGAATAATGATCACGCATCAAACACACATTCAGACTAAAGGAACCAGCTGTTTGGAAAATGAGAGAAGTAGAAAGTACAGGTATTTGTGTTCAAAATGTAAGAAGTAGAAAGTACAGGTATTTGTGTTCAACATGTAAGAAGTAGAAAGTACAGGTATTTGAGTTCAACATGTAAGAAGTAGAAAGTACAGGTATTTGAGTTCAACATGTAAGAAGTAGAAAGTACAGGTATTTGAGTTCAACATGTAAGAAGTAGAAAGTACAGGTATTTGAGTTCAACATGTAAGAAGTAGAAAGTACAGGTATTTGAGTTCAACATGTAAGAAGAAGAAAGTACAGGTATTTGAGTTCAACATGTAAGAAGTAGAAAGTACAGGTATTTGAGTTCAACATGTAAGAAGTAGAAAGTACAGGTATTTGAGTTCAACATGTAAGAAGTAGAAAGTACAGGTATTTGAGTTCAACATGTAAGAAGTAGAAAGTACAGGTATTTGAGTTCAACATGTAAGAAGAAGAAAGTACAGGTATTTGTGTTCAACATGTAAGAAGTAGAAAGTACAGGTATTTGTGTTCAAAGTGTAAGAAGTAGAAAGTACAGGTATTTGAGTTCAACATGTAAGAAGTAGAAAGTACAAGTATTTGGGTTCAACATGTAAGAAGTAGAAAGTACAGGTATTTGGGTTCAACATGTAAGAAGTAGAAAGTACAGGTATTTGAGTTCAACATGTAAGAAGTAGAAAGTACAGGTATTTGTGTTCAACATGTAAGAAGTAGAAAGTACAGGTATTTGAGTTCAACATGTGAGAAGTAGAAAGTACAGGTATTTGAGTTCAACATGTAAGAAGTAGAAAGTACAGGTATTTGAGTTCAACATGTAAGAAGTAGAAAGTACAGGTATTTATGTTCAACATGTAAGAAGTAGAAAGTACAGGTATTTGTGTTCAACATGTAAAAAGTCGTCAGAAAAATAAGTAGTGGAGTAAAGTACTGATATCAGAAACATGTACTTAAGTACAGTAACAAAGTATTTTACTACTTCTCACCTCTGCATATGAAGTTTTAAGGTAAACTAGAGAAGCATCATTAAAGTTAGATATAAAAGCAGTGCCATCATCAATATCTGTTTCCTGTATTTTCTGTTCTGCAGGCGTTCATGTTTGAGTCCTCCTTCAGCATGGCCGTCACAAAGTGGGGTCTAGAAACATGCCAGAGACTCGATAAGAGCTACTACCACTGCTGGGAATCTCTGCGCAGCCACTTCAACCCCAACTGGAAGCCCAGCAAACAGTAGAAGAAACCCAAACCAAATATAGTAGAGTTTATTATACATAGACAAAAACAAGTAATTTGACCTTAATATAATACATCTAATGTTTCTGAAACGTGGATTTCTTTGTCTGTTTCTGAAGAAATTCAGTCATTTCTTCCAAGCAGACAAGATTGGAGTAGCACAATAAAGATTAAAACAAAGCATTGGTGTTTGTCAAACCTCAAAATCAAAACTAGGCTGCCTAGTTTCTGTGTTTCCTGCTTTACTAGTTTTTTAGAATATTGTATGTCTGTACCTGATTTCAGGACCTTGGACTGGTCAGAACTAACATGGTGCGTGCGTAAGTAGGGATGGGTATCGTTATGGTTTTAACGGTACTACTACTTTTATCAATCCGGTCTTTTAACGGTACTCTTATCGGTTCTTTTGGAGAAAAAAAGAAGGTAAACTAACTACACAAATTGCGAACAAAATTAACATTGCTTATTTAAATGAAATACATAATATTTCACACTAATACTACAAATAATCAGACGCATTTTGCAGTCTTTTTGCGTATTAGAGTTGGCGACACTAAAACTGCAATATAATGTTTGTGTAGCATAAGATGACATTTTTTTAGATGTCTCCAGTACCGATAAAAAGACCGATAACGTCGGAGCTTAACGGTACCACGGCCTTTAATAATTCAGCCCCGGGGCCCGTTTAATACCGGGGCTCGGTACCCATCCCTATGCGTAAGTGATCGTCTCCCTTTACCTGTGCAGATTTTAATGTGTGTGTTAAAAGACTTGAGCAGGTGAACTTGTTTTATGCCACATTTTCCACAGTATATCCACTCTTGTTGCCTGTTTTAAGCCTCACTGCCCCGGTGTCTACTGTATTTTTTCACACCTTTAACTCACCAATTAAAACCACATGACTGTTTTTGACAATATAATTTTATTCAGTTAATAATAATAATAGACACTGGCATCACTAGAACATGAAGGTCTCAGCGCAGCTCATGATGACAGAGAGAACCGGCGATCGTACTTTCCAGCTATAATATCCGCCTCCTTCTTGTCCTGTAAAACACACGACACACACGATGGGTTAATGCTGATTCCATGGCAACAAAGTCATGTCACCTTCCAGACATTTTCTCAAAAGATTGTTTTATGGGTGAGCTTTTTGTGATTGTCAAGCAGCCTTTTGTCCTCCCAGCGGAAAGAGGAAGCGAATTTGAGGCTCAGCAGTCTGACAATTGCCCCTTGAATTCATATCGGTGAGGATTTAGACGCTGAATCTCCATGACAATAAAGCACTTGATTCAAATATGAATGGCACTGTGACAAAAAAAGGGATTCAGATCAACTGCTGAGCTCCAATCCTCAGCTGAATAGCTTTCAGATCCATGATGCCATTCATTAATATAAAAATTGAAGGATTATTTAAGGCTAATTTTTTTTGTAAAAGGTATTTTCAGTGTTTTAAATTAGCTAGTGCTGCATGGTAGAATTACCTGTAGTTCTCATGCCCGTACTGTGTTGGTCACTGGATTATATAAAGTGAAATCACTTGTGTTTGACCTCCAGCTTGGCATCTTAGTACTCTTAATAACTGCAAGAATATTTGGGAATAAATTATTTGTCTGTTCTAATTTTAAATGGTTTTCCAAGTGATCAATATATGTGCCCATGTTTGATGTATTTGTAGTTCTGTGCACAGACAAATACATGCCACTCAATCAATAGTAAACGGACTTAAGTTGAATGCTAAATGATGGTGTAGTTATTAAACGTGATGCTTAAGGAGCAAGAGGTGATAAGATAGGTAGATAAGTGTGGTGTTGTGAGTGCATGTTGTCTCATACCCTGTCTGTCTTGAAGAGGTAGTAAAAGGCAAAGAGAGGCACCACTCCAAACAGGAGCCCAGTCAGAGAGGTCTTGGATGTGGCCTTGAAGTAAGGGTAGGTGTGGGACCGGGCATACATCCAGCGATTCAGGGCCGGGTCTTCCTGTAAACACACACAGGTAAGCAAATCCATTTCAATGTATTAGTAAGTCTTTGCATTGGAGAAAAATGACATGGCAACGTGTATTTACATATTGTATTACTACAGCAAATACGTTTTCTCTTTAAACAAAAGTATAAAAGATAAGGACTTTTTCATAGAGTGCATTATGACACATGGTCCTGGTGTTGGGCAATGGGCATACTGGCTCACTGTAACATTGCCATGGACTACTAGGACACTTCAATAAGTAAATAGCCATTGTTAATGTAACAGTATCAGTTGTGCTGTTCCTACTATGTCCTTTATATATACAGTCCATGATAATTAAAGGACAGAAGTAGCAGTAGTAAGACAAACTGAGTAAGTAAATATTAAGTGTTGTGAGTGTAGTAGTTTCATGTTTGTCTGTTGATAAATAGGAGATATCTTGACCACTTGCGCACTTTTGGTGATGAAGAACCATGAACAGGTTAGGTGTGTTGTTGCAGGTTTTCATGGGATAGGCGAGTACAAATGTATGTTAAATCATGTGCTTTACCTCTTTCTCTAACACATTGCAACACTGTGGCACTTTACATAATATAAAATGTAAACACAATAGAAAAGAAAAGCAAGGACACTGCAAAGTAAAGCATTGCTGTAGGTTAGCGTCAACTCTACACACATTAATTCCCTCTAGTCCCGTCTTGTCATTGTTTTATTTCATGGTACTCATGGTACTGTGTTTATGTCTGCCTCAAAATACGCCAAGGTGAATTGCTTGTATGTGTTAACAATAAACCTGGTTCTGATGCTAACGTTAGCATGTAGCCACTTTGAAGGGTAACACTCACAATGAGGGGCCTTTCTGTGCGGGTTGTTCAGCTGAGTCTGGTACTGGAGCTTCAGGTTGGACCGCATAGCCAACTTGTCCTCTTCGGCCCGGCGGTTCTCCAGAGAGAGGTTAAAATACTCGTTTGGGTCCAGTGTTTTTGGCCGAGAAGCCAAGGGCGCCTCCTTGTAGTCCACCATGATTGTGGACGATGGAGCAAACGGGATCTCGTGAAATCTCGCGGTTACAACAGCTATAAAAGAAAGGACATATTTGTGGGGCATTTCTCTAAACAGGAACCCACTAACCTCAGGGGAATACACCAGGGATTACAATACAGATTCCTACTTATTTCTAGTGATAAGTAGCCTATTGCGATTATTAAACAAATTACAAGGAATTTGTTGGAAGATAATAACTTAATTTACTCACAGGGGAAGAATCTATAATGAAATGTGTGAAATCAGGATCAGAAACCACGTTTATACCTTTTAATAAAAGTATATATCTACATGTTTTGTTTATGTAACAGATGCACATGGGGCAGTTAGCCCAAAGATGTTATTTTTCATGGTCACCCAAAAAATGAATTATTATATTATTATACAAATTATTAACTTGTATACATTTACTTAAAAAAAGAAGAAGCACATATGCTCACAATATGCGAAAAAAGAGACAATGCAAGTGAAGATATGGACTTATTAAGACCATGTTGTGCTGCGTTAGAAATAATGCCGGGATCGTCACCATAGCAACTCCAAACAGTCTCAAACGGAACAATGAGCGCAGATAAGAAAGTCAAAGAGAAGGTCTCTCTGTCTGAAAGTGAGGATGGCTTTCAGTATGAAGAGGTTTCTCTGGGGGATGACTGGAGTCTGACGGAAGGAGAGGAGGATTTGGAGGCGACGGTGAAAGCGATCCAGGAGCGGGCAGAGGCAGCTGCTTCTCCCCGGAAAACAGCTCCCTCCACCCCGCAGAAACAGGAGGCCGTGGATGACTTTTTACGCACCTTCCTCTTCCACATGAACATGACAGAAACACTTGACTGCTTCCAGACTGAGTGGACCGAGATGGTGCAGAGAGGGGGCTTGGATACAGAGAACATCGGTTTAGTGCCACAGGTGTACACCGAGAACCAGAGTCTGACCGGCGAACTGGAGACTGCGCAGCGGGAGATGGAGGAGTACAGGCGGGCAGCGGCTGCAGGAGCACTGACCCTGGAGAGGGTGCAGAGGAACAGAGACTTCCACAGCCTGCAGTATAAGCGCGTGGTGCAGGAGAAAAACAAGCTCATAGAGGAGATGAAGAAGCTCACCGTGCAGTGCAACAAATACGAGCCGGAAGTTAAGCGGATGAATGAGAAATACCAGACTGTGCTAAAGCAGACCATGCTGGTGGCTTTGGAGAAGGACAAGGCTTTGGGGGGGGGAAGGATCAGGGAACATGACCCATGAAAAACCTCCATCACCTGCAAAGAGTTCAAGGACTCAGACTAGGTGAAGTCCCTGCAGGAGAATGGTTGAAATAAACAGTCTCATAACTTTCCTCATGAAGCCTTTTATTCCTATACAACACAGTTCATGTAATATGAAAAAACATGCTTCTATTCCAAAAACACACGTACAGTAAAGTCAAAAGTCTAAAGGTTAAAGTATAACAATAGTTTAAATTATAGAAAGTCATCATAATGTTCATAACAATATTAATATATTTAACCTGCAAAATACAGGACCTCTATATACATCCATATTTTTCATATGATGAAGATATATCCATTCGTTTTACTGAAGTTTAGAAGCTTTTCATTGTTGTAAATATCCACAAGAGGGCAGTCTTTAGCAAGCTTTGCTCGACTTCCACAGAGTGACTATGAAATCCAACTTCACCAGCAAAGAAGTAATTTGTAACAGCAGGAGGCAGGAATCTGCTGAGCTGCACTCGAAGATAAACCAGAAAAGTAGCGTGTCACTTCTGCTCATAAGAGTGCTCATTTCCCCCTTTTTACAACCACAGCAATGCCTGCCAGCATGGGAATAAAGTCATGCAGGCAGTAACATTTTACAGCTAATATTGCAATTTCAACTTTAGGTCCGGGTAGAACGAAAGCGTTCCGAAAAGCCACATTAATGGATGAAAAACATTGGCTATATAAAATAAGGTAGCAAAACATTGTAAAAATAAGCAGTGTGTTCTGCTCTGGAACAATTTTTACAACAATCACATTTTTGCATGACTTGTTTTTTTATTTTCAGATACCATATAGGATGTCAAGAAGTCCTGTTATTGCCACAGTGCAACATCAGTTATATTCTTGCAGCTATATTTCATTTGGTGCTGTTTTCATTACACCATGATACATTTAAGTGAAGCTGAAATAGCCTTCATCTCAGTGGCTTTGCAATCGGATTATGCAATATAAAGATATTGTTTCTCACACAGATGTTTTCTTTCTCCCTCTTCTGTCCCTTGATACTTGAGTGTGGAGATGCTGAGGGAGCTCTTTGATCCGGAGAGGCTACAGAACGTGTGACCAAGTGATTTATTGTCCTCTCCGGACCTCTAACCCGCCCTCCGCTCTGCAGTTTGAAACATCCATTTATGACTTCAAAATTCAATATGAGACCACACTCCCGGGCCAAAAAGCTCCCTCTACTTAATGTTCAGAGAGAGATTTAGCTCCATATGAAATATAAAAATGTTTCTGCCCTAGCTGTCAACCGGCAGACCTCGTGAACTTGGAAATGAACTTTGAGAAGTTTCTGAAATGTGAGCACAATGGGAACAAAAAGTATTTCTTCTCTTCCTTTCCTTACATCCTCCCACATCCTTCTGATGGCTTTCTTTCCACTGTACATTTGGTTGTTATTCTTTATCATACATCAGTGATGCTGACTGACGTTTATTTGGATGCACTCACTGTGCAAAGCTTTTGTCAGATATTAAGATGTGATAGATATGGAGACAGTGACAGACTGTAAGATGGGAATGAAAAGGCAGAGAGGATTTCTATCAGCTGCCTCTGCTACCTTTGCAGGATTTAATCAGAAGTGATTTTGTGCTGCTTTGGTCTTTTTGAAATGGCTTCTTCATGCGAGTCTGGCTCGGAAAGTGGAAGCATGTTTCTTTTCCGACCACAAACTAAAAGCACTTTTCTCCTTATTCTTCACCAGAGGTCCGTGATGTGGTCAGTAGACTCACAGACAATGACCTAATGTGTTATGCTGCTCTTTGCTCCATAATATTTCCAGACTCCATTACTCTGCTGCCCCATAGGAATGTAACTGAGGAATGCATTTCCTTTCCACACTTGTTTTCATCTACAGTATGTAATTAGGCCAGTTTGGAGCCTTTTCTAAATGTCACAAATGGTTACAGTCGATGAGGTGGTGGCTGGAGGCAGGCTTGTTATTCCCAGCCAACTTTTTATACCTCCAAGGCCCATATTACCTTTTTCCAGCCGGCCCACCCCTCCCTCCCACAGACGTTGTCACCGTGAGGTCGTCCATTGGTTTGTAAACCATTATTTTGAACTTACAGTTTGGCATTTTGGCCGTCACCATGCTTTTTGGAGCCAGAAGTCACACGAGAGGTTGGAGCTAAGTACAGCCATATGCTGTAAACCTTTTTAGGCAAACCAAAATGTTCCAATTAACTTTCAGGAAGAGAAAATACTGGTAAACAGTCAGACATTTGGACCACGTAGCCCATCCTAAAGCCTTAAGCATTCCCTGCTTTATGGTTTATTTGTACCTAAATGGAAACATCGTTTGCTAAATGATCCTCCTGCTGTATTGAAGAAGACTTTAAACTACAAATTGAGACTATAAACTCATGTATACAATGTTTACTGAGCTATAGACTTCTATACAATCACACTTCTTTATGCAACCAGTAGAGTCACCCTCTGCTTGATATCAGAAAGAGTGCAAGTTCAGGCATATTGGCTTCACTTCTCAGTACCAGAGGTTTCCGACTGCTCCATTTATCTCAGGTCTGAGGACACAAAGTTGTCTTCCCCTGCCTTTTATAAGAAGTTTTCGACGTTGTGTCTCCATATTTAATGCCTGGGACTGCTTGTGATTCCTCCCATGCCTCTCCCTCGGCTCCTGTCAGCTCTGTCCACTTCACAGCCCGCACGACCTTCGTGTCATACCAAAGAGAAATAGGAATGAGGGTGAAAAGCCTCCTGGCTCGAGCTGAACCGAACCTGCCTCGCCTCCCTTTATCGCTCTGCCTCTGAGCCTATTTTTACTGAACTCTGCCCTGTTTATACAACTGAATCACAGTGGGCTTTGTGTTGTAATTGAGATGAATCGCCTTAGCCTAGTTACCTGCCACATATAGGATGTGTTGGCTCCGTATTCCTCCAGATATCTTTTTGAAGAAATGCTGCTTTTCTCAATTCATCCTCAATTCTCTCTGCCTTCCATTTCTAATATACACCTATGAAATTTATTCACCCTGTCGGAGAGTATTCCTTTCTTAATAAATCAGCTTTCCACGGACCTATATAGTGGGTATCCGGTCATACTCAGCAATATTTTCTGCTTTAATGTACTGAGCAGGGCAGATATTGTGGCATTGCCTCAGCAGGCATCCATCATCTTCAAGCAGAGCTACGCAGATGAATTGCTCAGAGACAGAACTGAGAAAATCTGGCATTTTTCTTTCAGCTATGTTCATCTCAGCTCTCGGCTTTAACGTAAATGTTCAGATATTTATGGCGATATTCGCTGCAGGGATTTATCTCCTGTGTCAAGATGAGTATCCAGCATGTCGTCGTTCTTGTAAAACCAACTTTGGTCGAGATGCTGATTGCTTTGCTTCTCTAAGGTTAAGGAGAGTCTTAAGAAACCATTTGAAATGCATTAAGTTAACTCAAAATGGCATGGTGGCCAAGTTTAAACCAACATTTGTGTTTCTTAATTCCTGGCATATAATGATGCGGAGTCATTTGTATCCCAATGGAAACCATTAGCAAGACCACAGCTCAAAACACTTAGAGTTCCCAAATATGAGTTCTTTATGATGAATTCATCACAAATTGGGGATTTTACTTACTTTTCACCTGGAAAATACGAATAATGATTAATAACACTTCAATAAAACGGCTTTTTGGCAAGTAAAGGTTGAGAGAGCTGGAACACAAAAGAAAGCAGTGTGTAAATGCCACAGTTCAGGCGAAGAATAACAGGATTATTTTTGGTAACTCGGCTACAGTACTCTTGATATCTCTGT